GGCTTCCAAATCTAAAACTGCCTTTATTTGTGGTTGGCTCAGCGTAAGGTGCCATCATTGATCAGCAGAGTTATAAAACTGTACAGGAGGTACAAAAATAGGCTGTTTAACTTAGATAATTACGTCACATCATCGACCTTTAAAAATACACGTAAAAATTGTACAATCTGGCAGTTTATAAAATATAAAGCTAAAAAGAGGATTTTTAGGTTCCACAAAGAGGATTGTATCACACGATTAACACATACCCATGAAACAATTAACCGTCCACAGAGAAGACACAATGGCACAGAATTTAACAAGAAAAAAAAAAATCACTTAAAAATTAACATTTTTACCCTGACCAAATTATTCACCCTTTAATGACAAAACTACTGTAAGGCGTCCATCCCATGGAAGGATACAGTATAACTTTTCCAGTTTTAAAATGGTCAGGGGTGTTTATCCAAAGCAAATCTGATGTGCTTTAAGCAAGTGCAACTGTCACTGGATACACTTCAGAGTAAAAATTAAATAAATATAAATAGGTTCAATAAATAGGTCGTTGCAAAAAGAACACTACATAAAGTTAGCATCTGAGAATGGTAATGCTTTCCAGGTCAGTGGGGACGCCCCCGTCCCAGCTTCCGGGACACTGAGAAGGATACTCTACCTGCCGGACACTCGGGAACAGGGGGTGAGGCGAGCCGGGTGGGGACTTTGGCTGGAAGTGTTGGTTAAGGCTGCTCCAGTGGGGAGGCTCGTTGTGGTTTTCCAATGAATACAGAGAGGATTTAAGTCCTGATACAAGCATTGGGACCAGTTACTCGTGGGAAATCACTGATTCACAGAGAAAACCAAATATACAAAGAGTAGACTCTTTGGTTTAAAAGATAATGGTCCAAAAAAAAAAAAAAAAAAAGAATGATGACGGTCCAACCCTGGAAAGTGGAATTCCGGCTCATCTGTACAGGACACCTGGAGACTTACTTCCAGGCAAGGTCAAAGTGCACAGAGATGCACAAATGAGAACAGCCCCGGGAAACCCAAGCCTGGCCCCGGTCCAATTTTGGAGAAAAAAGTGTCCAAGAGGAGAAAACACTACAACCCAAAGGCCCCCCTCATATCCTCGACATCAGACCAGCCATCAGTTCACCTTCTTCATTGCGGTGATAAATGAATGGCATTCACACGAAACCTCACCCAAAGGATCAGTCAACTGAAGAAACTACTCCAAGATGGTGAAGGGTGGCCAAGGAAAAGAAACACTGGGAAATATGAAGAAGAGGGATTTCAGAAGCTGAATGATAGGAGAGAAAGCTCAAGAGAATAGAAAGAGGCTCCTTTCAGATGTGCTGTGCTGTCCTCCAGCCCTTCCACAGAAGGCTGTGAAAACGGAACCAGCCCACCTCCCTGGATGACCTCAAGGCTGAGGGTCCGATGAACAGAGATACACAATGAGAACAGTGCCCGGAAAGCCAAGCCTGGCCACGGTCCAACTTCGCAGAAGAAAGCATCCAAGAGGAGAAAACTTTACGACCCAAAGGGCCCCCTCACATCTTCGAGGTCGGACCAGACTCCTTCTCGCACTGCGGTGATAAATGAATGGCGCTCACACCAAACCTCACCCGAAGGATCAGGGGGAGCTCTGAGAAGGAACTTTCTTCTCGAGTTGGTAGGAAGCAAGCACTTAGCTGGGCCTGCTAACTGGTGGACCTCCCACTGAAAGACGTGTAAGGGGTGGGAATGATGTCTCCCTGGGGAGAGCCGATGAGGACTACTGCACTGAGAAAGGGGGAGATGGGAGAGGAACTTGGCGCCCAGGGTGGCAGGCATGAGACCTCAGGTGCTTTAGTGACATCACGTAACACCTGTGATTGCCGAGCGTGCAGACGCTCTGGCGCCCATGACAGGTGGAGCTCTTTAAAAACTGAAGTTAAAAGGGCTCAAGCTTGGCAGGTGTGCCAAGGACAGATTCGACACAAGGTTCAATACAAGATTTAAAGAGACGATGGTGTCCTTGGGATTCCTAACAGATGTGACTAAATTCTGTCTTAAAAATGAGACAGGACTTCCCTGGTAGTCCAGTGGATAAGAACCGGTCTGCCAACGCAGGGGACACAGGTTCGACCCCTGGTCTAGGGAAGTTTCGCTATGCCTCGGGGCAACTAACCGAAGCGCCGTGACTGCTGAAGCCTGTGCACCCCACGGCCTGTGATCTGCAAGAAGAGAAGCCACCTCCATGAGAAGCTGGTGACCTCAGCTAGAACAGCCCCTGCGCGCCACAAGCAGACAAAGCCCGTGTGCAGCAACGAAGACCCAGCACTGCCAAAAATAAATTAAAACAAAAAAAGAAGATAAAGATGGTGTACTTGTGAAAATGCAGCCTTCCAGGAATTGTACAAAAGATCAGATCAACGGCTCAACTGTGACAGGACGTGGCCAACTGCAGAACCCTCTTTTCATGAAAGAACACCTTCCTGCCCAGAACAACAAGAAACCAGAATTCTAGAGACCGGGACAGGATAAACCAGATGGTGCCCGAGGTGTCAGCATGACAGGAACCCATACAAGACCTCACCACTTGTGAGGACTGATGGGTGGCTGGGTTCTCAAAGGCGACGGAGAGAAGATGAACAGTAGGCGATTTGCTGGGTGTCAACCCCAGATGCACACCCTTCCCCACCCCTGCGTTTTCTTCGCAGCGCTGGTATTTACTCCCTGCCCGCTCTCTACCACTGGCTCACAAGAAAGCCAAGGTTTGGCCTGTTTGGTTCACCTGTGTCTTTGGCACCCAATATCCTGTCCAGCACATATAGAAGTGCTCAAATAAAATACAGTGAATAAACGAGTTTGAGACAGTTGGATGGTTAAAAACTAGTACCACAAGCAGAAAAGGCAGTTAAAAAAAAAAAAAAAACCTGTCCTGGAGGCAAGAGGGGCCAAAACAGAGAGACGAGACAAATCCTGGGGTGGTGGGAATGACCTGGCTACTCCCCAGAGAGAGCATTCAGCAGAGACAAAGACGAGGCGGCTGACCCCCTAACCCTGCCCCCGGCGGCACGGGAAGCTGACGGTCCTTTAAATCACCTGCGGCATCTTCTCCTTCTCCACCTCGAACTGTCTCACCATCCGTCCTGGCGGAAAAGTGACCTGCAGAGTCATATAGAACAGCTTGGGCGGAGGCTGGCCCGGGAGCATCAGAGCTGGGAGAAGACAACGTTGGTTTTCCGTGTTCCTGAAAAACGGACAGCATCGTTCGAGACACTGATGCCGACTGAGGATGCCGGGGTTCCCAGGTCTAAATGAGGTAACTGATGAGGTTTAAAGATGTAGGATAATTTTAAGAGAGAGAGAGAAAAAGAGAAAATGGCTTTAGACAGACGGAAAGGAAGGGAGCTGAATTCACTGAAGGCAGAATGAGTGTTTTGGTGACTGGTTCTCGTTCAAATCCACTGCCAGAAAGCATCTTGCGGGGAGAAGAAACACCAATTTCTCTCTGTCAGTTAGAGCAGCCTGATAGTAACGTTCTTCCTCCAGAGCGGAATCTCTAAGTTCACCAGGACCGAAATGCAGTGGTCCATCCACCTGGCTGGAGAAGGTACACAGAAAATGCTTTCTCACCTATATCCTGACTGTATTAAACCTCTAAGGCTTTTGGCAGAGAAAAGACAGAGAAATTTTTGACTAAAACTAACGTTAAAACGTTGCATCAATTTTGGGGGGGGGGGGAAACCATGGTATTGACATAATTTGGAGAATATGATTTTGAGGTTGTGTCATGCATGTACATAGTGTTGCTACAATGTTTTACTCTTCAGCATTAGAGAACCAGGGGATGGGGCTTTTTGGTACCCTACAAAACAGAAGATGTATTATTCTCTTTCTTGCATTGCTTCTTCATGAGTAAGCTTCAAGTTCAGTTTAGCTCACACTAAGGTAGCATTCTACGGTATGATCAAAATAAAAAGTCATTAAAATCTGCCAAGGGAAACATAAAAGCCTGCCCACAAAGGGTGTGGTGACCCTGGCCTCGGCCCTCAACCCCCTGGCCGGTCCTGCTGGCCCCAGGGACAGAGCGGCCTCACCGCCTGCCCACTGGCCAGGACTTTCCAGGTGGGCCCTGAATGTCCGTCTGGCCTGCTCCCCTCCGGCCCCTCCGGCCTGTCCCTGCCTGGGTCCGAGCTTCTACCCCTCGTAGCCAGGGGACTTATCACCTCTTGCCCCCAAATGCTCCTAAATAACCCGAGTGCCCAAGGCATGGACCCACCGCCACCATTCAGGCCACTGGTGCTCGGGGCCACGGCATCGTCTCTGTGTCTGTGAGACCTGCAGACACTGCCTCGCCTTCCAGAGTGCTGGGCTGGCCTGTCCCCTCACCGCGCCCCCACACTCAAGGCTCTCGCCGCCCCAGAGGAAACGCTGGTCACAGTGACCTGGGAGCCTGTGGGTGCACCAGTGATCAAGGAGACTCTCTGATCCCCAGGGACGACACCCTCTGAAGGCCCTCCCCCTCCCAGGGACCCTCTTCTCCAGGGCCCTGCTCCTAGCAGACGCCACACTTGGTGCAGCTCAGCCTAGCTGGTCCGAGAAAGGGGTGCTCCTGGACCCAGCATGCGGGCAACATGGAGGGGTCCCTCATCTCTCTTCCTTAAAGGCCTACAGGCTGGCATCGGACAGGGAGTTTTAAAAGAAATGCGAGTCTGAAGCGAGTATATCCAGGAGAGAAGACGGACGGCGCTCCTCTCTGCCTCTGGGACTGGTCCTCCTTCCCAGACATCCCCCGATGGTCCAGCTTTCATGACCAGCATCTTCCCAGCTCCTCCCCAGGTTGGGGGTAGGCAGGGGGGCATCACCTCTCCCTCTGCCCGAGGTTGGCATCTTCCCCTGCTGGCTGCGGAGCGGGCAGCTCAAGGCACTTGGCTTTGGGGCCTGGTCTCCCTGCTCGGCCGGGAGGGCTGCGGCTCGTAGAGACCAGGCCCTCAGTCCCAGCGAGGCCACCAGCGTGGAGGCCGCCCGGCTCAGAGGGCGTCTGCAGTCACGGGGGGCTGGGGCTCGGGGGGCTCGTGGTAGTAGGGCTGGAAGGGCCTCTCGTGGCGGCACAGCTCCATGGCGCGGTAGGTGTGCAGGAGGAGGTGGGGGAAGCGGGAGGTGAAGTAGCACACAAAGCCGTCGGGGAGGGCGCCCAGCGTCTCCTGCACCTCCTCGGGCAGCTCCCGGTAGTGGTGCTTCTGCAGACGGGCAGACAGACACACGGTCGGCGGAGAGGAGCCCGTGGGAGCCGGGCCAGACCCCCGCTCGAGGAACACAGGCTGTGAGGCTGGGTGAAGGGACCACCCGTCCACTCCCCGGTCTCCTCCCCTTCTTTGGGGGAGGCCTCTGAGGCTGGTGCAGGGAGAGCGGGGAGCGGCAGTCAGGTGCAGGACGGGCCCCCATGGACGGACTTCATCATCCGCTGTCCAGGCAGGAACAGGGCACCATGCAAGCCGGTGAAGGATGTGGCATCTGAGCCCGCTTCCCAGAGCACGGATCCCCGCCCCAGCATCCCTGAAGAGAAGGCTCATCCAGGGGAAGGAACAGCCGCTAAGGTGCCTAGTGCAGCCACGGCCGCCCAGCCTCTGCGAGCTCCTCACTCCAGGGAGGCCGGAGCACCCACGAGGAAGGGATACGAGGAGCGGGCTGTGCAGCGGCCCTGCCCGGCCCCACCGTGCGCCCTCGGCCCTCACCTTATTCCTCATGGCTCGGAGGAGATCTCGGACCGAACTGCCTTTATAGGTTCTGAATTTCCGCAGATCTAGAAAAAATGAAAAACAAAAACAAAGAAGGGAGGCAATGTAACAAACCCACGAGATTCCAAGAGAAAACAGTTCCTGGGGCTCCTGGAGATGAAGCAACTTAGGACAGAAACTAACTAACTCCGTCTTCTTCGCAGAGTTTCCCAGTCTGAACCTGGTGTGGGGCGGCAGCGTTAGTCTGAATTCTGCCTCCCATCATGCCCGCAGTCAGAGATTACCACTGAGAGCACCATGCCTGTCACAAACCCGTCACTCTGAGAGATAAAGGAGGAGACACACGAGAGCAATGGGGTGACCGGCTATCCAAACCACAGGAAGCCTCGACCCCAGAAGCGGTATTTGTAGCCCCAAGCGGACTGGAGTTGTCGCTTCCACACCTGCGTCTCAAAACCATTCACAAGAACCGCTTCCGCCCACAGGCACCCGGGGCGCCTCGCGGTCACCTGTCTGCAGGGGGACAGTGATGTTTTCCCGCCAGTCCATCTTCACCACGGCCCGCCCACCGCGCTCCAGCTGCTTCACTATCGGGCCGTCCAGGGCCTCCTTCTCTATCCGGTCACTCACGTCCTGGGAGGGAGACAGGGCAATGGGTGATGGTCAGTGTGGAGGCGCCAAGGGCCGAGGACAGACACGCGGGGTGACGGGACGGCCACCCCTGCCTGAGCTGGGCGGCGAGGGTCCTGCCTGCTCCTGGGAGCAGCCCCGTCTGCCGCTCGCTGGGGAGAGACCTCCCGGCTCCACCACAGACGCGCGCCAGTCCACAGGCCCGCAGCCCCTCGCCCGCGTTTCACCCACACTACGTGCCACACGGGGCCACGTGTGCAATCTGTATCATTGATGAAGCAAGAAAAAGGTTCACTTGGATTGACACGCTGTGACTTCTGTGTGCCCACACACACAAAGCCATGACTAAAGGTGGGGGGGGGTGGTGTTTATCATTCTTCAATCAAACAATTAGAAAAACCAGGAAGCCAAGACTTCCTTCTGAGGAGAAAAGCCAGTGACAAGAGTATCGGGTCCGAACGCCCCAGCTATGGATCCAAATCCTGCTCTGTTTGAGGGGATGCACCCGGCCACGGGCCTCTCAGAGTCCCCATCGGTGAGAGAGGTCCACTGGGCAGCCTTGTGGGGAGCACAGCCTTCATCTTTGATGAAGATAAAAGCAGACCGGCTGGCTGGCTAACTTGCAGTGGCAAAAGGAAAGCCTTGGAGGGAACTGATGGTCAACTTTGGTACATGGGGGGCTTCCCCGGTGGCTCAGTGGTAAACAATCCACCTGCAATGCAGGAGACACAGGAAACAGGGGTTTGACCCCTGGGTCAGGAAGATCCCCTGAAGCAGGGCATGGCAACCCACTCTAGCATTCTTGCCTAAACAACCCCATGGAGAGAGTAGCATGGTGGGCTACGGTCCAGAGCGTTGCAAAGAGTCGGACATGGCCGAAGCAACTGAGCATACACTTGAGTATATGGAGGCCCTTGGAGCTGAACCTCAAAGCTGGTATAGCTCGTGATACAGACGGAAGCCTGTGTGTTCACAAGACATGTGATGGAGATACCAAGAACTCCCATCCCAACCCGGGGTGCGGTGAAGGTCCCTCTGCCTGAGCTTTATTCCTGCATTACATCTTATCATCAACCAAGTGACCTGGCTAATCTAGAGGTCCCCTGAAGACGTCTGACCTCAGACATAATGTTACTGCATACTTAGACTACAGTGTGGTGTAGACATAAACACTTATGTGCACTGGGAAACCAAAAAGTATGTGTGACTCGCTTTACTGCAATATGTGGCTTATCACCAGGGTCTGGAGTCGAGCCTGCAGTATCTCCCAGGTCTGCCTGTATGAAGAGAATACACTGAGATGCTAACTGTGGTTCTCTTTCGGTTGTGGGATTATAGGTCATTTGTTTCATTCTTCGTTCTTTGCTATAGTTCCTAGAAAGAAACGGGAAAGCTTAAATGAATATTTCTGATGAAGAAAACCAACATCTCCACCTGGAAGAACTGGAGCTGCTTTTCCAGGCTCCAGAAGAAAGGGTGTTTCAGCACATGCTTCGCTGACGGGCGCTTCTGGGGATCCATGGCAATCATCTTCTCTATTAACTCCCGGGCAATGACGTCCTCTGCAAAGGAGGAAATAGACACACAACTCGTTATGACCAGCCTCAAGCTGCAAGCAAATAAATATCCCAAACCTTAACAGTCTGCATCCCTGCGACTCAAGGTTCTACTGACAAGTGAAAGTCGCTCAGTCGTGTCCGACTCTTTGCAACCCCATGAACTATACAGTCCATGGAATTCTCCAGGCCAGAATACTGGAGTGGATAGCCTTTCCCTTCTCCAGGGGATCTTCCCAACCCAGGAATCGAACCAGAGTCTCCTACATTGCAGGCAGATTCTTTACCAACCGAGCTATCAGGGAAGCCCTGATAGCTACTGAGGGAAACCCATTCCAGTAACATGAGACTTCAGCTAAAAAGGAGAGACCTCCTCACACAGTTAATGAAAAGGAGTGATCCTAAATACTCGCTATCAGAGTCTTGGGCGACACTGTCCTGCCTCCACACACTGGCCTGTGGGCCACGAGGATAACACACTGGCTGAACGTGGATGGACACGGGTAGAGAGTCAAGATGAAGGTTAAAAACGAGCGTGCTTTCCCTGGTGGCCCAGTGGTTGAGAATCTGCCTGCCAAAGCAGGGGACATGGGTTTGATCCCTGGTTTGGGAACTAAGATCCTACATGCCATAAGGTAACTAAATCTGTGCATCACTGTGCCCTAGAATCTGTGCTCCAAGACAAGAAAAGCCACTGCAATGAGAAGCCTGTACACCACAATTAGAGAAAGCCCACGCGCAACAATGAAGACCCAGTGCAGCCAAAAATAAATCAATAATAAAAAAAGAGCATGCTGCAAAATACTATGTACTATTTAACTCCATTTTTTATAAAAATATGAATATGTGTCTAGAGAGATGATCAGAATAATGTGTACAAAGGTATTGATAGCAGTCATTCCTCACTGTAATGGATCTATGAGCCTTTATACTAATCTGTTTTGTCTCCAGGGAATAAGGAAAATTAATCCATGAACAAAACTATAAGATAGTTTAAATCTTTTTAAAAGGCAGGAGTAGGTGTCATAGGCCAATTACAATGTGGGAAGCCCTTCAGTCAGGCAGAAAGGCTTGTCCTCCTGCCTGGAGAGTGAGGACCCAGACCATCTGTCCCCAGACCAGGGTGACCCCCTGACCGCCAGGCCACACCTGAGAGACCAGTTTACAGAGCATGGCCCTTCTGTCTCCCTGAATGTCGGGACAGGAAGGGATCTCAAACTGTTTAACCCTCAGGAGTCACAAACTAGAAAACAGAGGTCCCCAAAGAGGCCTTGCCCAGGTCACAGAGGTCATTGTGTGACCTCAGGAACCCAGGAACTACTTGGCTTCAGGACACCCCACCAGCCCTCCAACCAGCTCTGGACCAAGTCCTTGTTCACTGAGGCCCACTGGGCGAGCAGCTGCAAAGAAGGCCCTCTGGGGGCTCAGAGTTGGCACCACCCCCGCCCGCCGGGGCTGCTTCCGAGCCCCCAACTCTGCCGCCTGCTCACCGTACTTCTTGGGGTGCAGGTAGTCGAGCCCTGCCCCCCGCCCAGCCCAGCCCCCCACTCACCATGCTTCTCAGGGTGCAGGCAGTCAAGGCTGTAGGCACCCAGGAGAATGTTGGCCTGGCGTTGCAGGGATTTGCCAAAGGGGTGGCTGCCCTCGGATATCACGTAGTAGAAGACACAGCCCGCGGAGAAGATGTCCACCGTGTAGGTCTGAAAAGAAACGAGGGGCGTCAGATGCCCTGGAGGGTGGGGGAGTTATTCTCACCCAGCAGCAGAGGAGGGGGTGTTGGGAGAACACCCCGAAGGTGCCTTGGGAGAACCAGCGGATGGGGTGCAGCTGCTCGGAGACGTGCTGGGTGCAAAGAACTGGGCTCTGGAGCCAATGTGTGGGACGCTGGCTCCGCCACTGGCCCCCGGAAGTCCGCTGGCCACTCTGCACCTCAGCATTCACAACCATAAAATAAGGATAAGCCCATGGGGCTGCTGTGAAGATTAGATGCATCCTTGCTGCTAGTCATTCTTTACCCAACCAGCTCATCACTCCTTGAGGGCAGGGCTGCGTTTGCATCCCTGTGGTACCCCAGGTTCGTGCATACAACAGGTCTTAACCTTTGTTAATAAATGAAATACAGCTTTTGGTGGGAATTTCCTGGCAGTCCAGTGGTTAGGACTCTGCGTTTCACTGCTAAGGGCATGAGTTCGATTCCTGGTCAGGGAATTAAGATCCTGTGTGCTGTGTGGTTAGGCCAAAAAATAAAAAAAAGAGCTTTTCATTCAAAAACAGCTCCAGAAAGTGATTATTTGACAAGTTTCCAGTGCGCTCACTTTGATGTTATCTATTAACATGTCTCACTTATCCCATGAAACCATTCCGTGTCTAGAGATGAAACCAGTGTGTGTGTGACTTCTAGCTCGGTCTACGTGGGGTGTAACGCTGGGGTATAACCCAGGCACGGCGTGGGTCCCTCACGCCAGGCCCCACCATTCGGATTTTCCACCAGACGACATGAGGCTCTGGTGAGAGAAAGTCAGGAGCTGGTCACCTTCCTCACCGGAGAAAACATACCCTTCACAAGAGCCTCGTGAGGTGAGCGGAGGAAACGTCACCATCCCCAGATGACGACTCAGACAGAGGTTTGATGACAAGCCCAGGGTCACTGCTGGGGAGTGACAAACCAGGGCAAGACGCAGGTCTTATTGCCAAGTCCAATAAATTATTCTGTTGTCAGAGCGCTCCTGAGGTGGGTGACAGATTCAGTACCAGAGGAACAAGTCCACCAGTGCTGACGTTCTCACCTAATGGCCACTGCCCGCCTCCTTGGGGCACGGCTGATGCTCCCCATTTTCCGCAGCCTGTGCTGCTGCGTCCCCAGCATCCCCCCAGCATCCCGTCCCTGATGCTGCCCGGGGGCTCCTATCCTGCATGCTGGCCCCTCTGCCTCCCAACCCAAGAGCCTCACCTCTAGACTCAGCTATGCTCTTTCCCAAACTCATTTCTGCCACTAGTCCTTGTAGTTTAAATCCTCTGTAAGCTGATAAAACACATATGCTGCCAAGTCTGAGGTAAGTTGAGTCTTTGGTAAGACTTGATACGAGAAAGTTGCTACAAAAACTGCTGTGGGATTAGATGTGGGAGACTCAACTGTGAGCTAGACGGGCCATAAATAGCTCAAGGCTAGGATTCCGCTCTCAAATCGCTCAGGGGGTGTTTGAAATGTCCGAGCCTCAGTGCAGAACCCACAGAAGGCATTGTGAGCGTGCTTTATGCAAGAGAGGAAATCAGCAACTCCATTCAGTTGGGCCCAAAGTCAAAACAAGACCTTGTTTCACAGCAAAGATTTTTCTTAGAGAGCTGTTACTTAAATTTAAAACTAATGTTTAGAGTGTGTATGTATTTTCTTATGACTCTCTATAGTAACTTTTTTGATTAATAGACCAACTGCTGGTCCCCGGTGAATTAGATAAGATGGCTCTGTTGCATTTTATCTATTTTAGGATGGCTGATCCCATCCAAGTCTGATTGTGGAGGTGTCAGATAATCCTCCAGGGTCTTGCTGAGCCAGAAAGCAAGGTGCTCAGACACGACTGGGCTCTTAGCAGAAGAATGAAGAACCCAGCTCAAAGAGGCTCTGGTTGGGCAAATCTGGAACAATTTGAGTATCAAAAGGAATGGGAGCTATTTTCACAGAAGTTTAAGAAACATCAGATGAAGCTCAGCTTTCAGGAACCAAGGACTGCCAGATAATATTAGCCTCTACATTAAGCATTTAGATGCTTACCTGAAATCTGCCTTGTACAAAGATAGATTGAACTGCACATTGTTTAAAACTTGATTGCTATTAAAGCAGAAATTATAAAGTTGTAAAAAAAAAGGGGGGGGGAATAGAAATAAAAACAAGACTATACCAGGTTATATTACTGTTTTTTTTTTAAATCCATGAGTCCATACTGACTTAAAAAAAAATAGAAAGGGCATAGAAAAATGTCAGCTAATAAATGTAGAATTTCAACTGAATGGAGTGATTCAGGCAAGGGATGCCAAAGGATGCTGAATCACTACCTGAGTGACTGTTGGTATTGGGATACTGACATTCTGCCAGGGTGTTGCCCCACATGGTCCTGGCAAAGGGGATATGCCACTGTTAAATACCCGTGCCAGGTGGGCCAACTCGGCATCACCAGTAGGAGAACAGTAATAGTAACGGTACAACCTGACTGTGGTTGTTCTTGTCAAAAACACTTAATTGGAATCCAACTCAACCTTTAGACCTACTCTAGTTCACAGGAAATATAAGGAATAGATGGGCAAATTCAACATCACCAAGAGGAAATGGGTGAGTGAATCCTGAGTGGGGCATTCTACAGAGAGGCGTCTGGACTCTGCAGAGAGCCACTGTCACGGGGCAGAAAAGGTGGGAGAACCATGTCAATTAAAGGAGAGAGAATCTGGGACTTCCCTGGTGGTCCAGTGGTTAAGACTCCACACTCCCAATGTAGGGGTCCTGGGTTTGACAGCTGGTTGAGGAACTGTTCAAATGCCATGCAACAAACACACTTGGTTGGGTCCTGGTCGACAAAATCCAGCTCTATAACAGACCTCTGGGGAACTACTAGGGAAACTGGAATATGGATTGAATACTAGGCATCGTGGAAACAGTATTAATGATTGAGGTGTAATCATGGTGAGGTGGTTAGGAGGTAGAATGTACTTGTCTTTGGGAGACAAGTGCTAGAGCATTAAAGGGTAAAGGGCTGGGAGGCCTGCCGCTTATATGCAAGTAGTTTCAGGGACAGAGAGAAAGTGAAAAATATTGACAGATGCAGAACTGGGGTAGAGGTACAGAGGCTCTCACTGCTCTCAATTCTCTCTATTCTCAAAACAGAAAGTTGGAAAACCAAAAATTTAAAAAAGAATGAAAACTGGAAGTCAGCTCACCTTATGCTAGCCCTGATTTCCCAGTTTCCCAAAATAGGGGGAAAGTGATTGGAAGACTAGAGGGGAAGGAAAACAGACCACTGCCCACACCTGCCTCTTTCATTCATGGACAGGAGACGATGTTAAAGTGGCAGCATGTGCTGCTGGGAGAGTAGCTCTTTGCTAAAAAAAATCCCTCTCCAGCAGTGAGCCTGCAGCCCGTCAGCAACTGGAGGTTCTGACTCCCAAAGGTACAAGAGGCTGGCTCCGCGGTTTTCACAGAGCCGTGCTCATCACTCACGGGGTTCTCCTTGCAGTCTTCGCTCAGCATCTCTGGGGCAATCCAACCTTCGGTGCCCGGCACGCCCGAGCGGCGGCTGAAGCTGTGCCTGCCCACGGCCAGCTTCTTGCAGAGGCCGAAGTCGGAGATCATGGCCTTGATCCTGCCGTGTGCATTGGGCATGGAGAGGAGGATGTTGTGGGGCTTCAGGTCTCTGTGAACTAACAGAACACCCCATGTGAGTCCACTTCTTCTACCATGGGGACGTGCCCTCCCCAGATTCCCGAGAGGCCCGCTGCTGCCTCTAAAGCTCCTGGTCTTCAAATGTGAAAGTCCTCAGGTTCGTGGACAACTGGGACCCCAGCCATGCAGCAAAGAGCTTCAGCTGAGGCGAGGCCCATTGGGCAAGTCATCTCCCCTCCCGGTAAGGGGAGGCTTCTCACCGATGTTGAGGGAGTGCAGGTGGGCCAGGCCGGAGGTGGTCTGCTGCAGCAGGGTGATGGGCTCCAGGCCGAGGTGGGCAAAGTCCTTCTGCTCCACGTACTGCAAAGAGACACAAAGGTGGGGTCACCGCACGGCGCCCCTGGGACTCAGCTCCTCAGCACACTTCTCTCACTCTCTCTTTTTAAAAGTGATTCAATTTTATTTAGAAAAACTCTGCCTGAAGGCTTTTGCTTTAATTAACATCTGGTATTGGGTCAGCTTGTTTTATTATATTTAAGAAAGAAATGAGAACTTTTACTGACAATGTTTTCTGTCTACTTCCATATTTTCCAGCAGACTTTCTCCTGAAGTTATAGGCTAACTTAAAAGCAAACAAGGCTCCAGTTTACTAGTTTATAATGAGATGATGAGAGGGTAAGAAACCCAAGTTCATTGCCTCCTACAGTAAAGTCTACGATGAAGCCAAATGATACTCAAAACAGTTTTACAGCCTTGAAACTGAGCAAAAGGTATTTGATGGATGATCTTAATGACTCCAGTCATCAACCAGCATCCTCCTAGCCCACACCAGCCCTGACTAGCAATGAGAAGGACCAACCACGTTTCCTGGAAGCCAAGAGGGAGAGAGATGCCACCTGCAAACAAAGATTTTCCCAGGCAGCCGAAGGGACCACACAATTAAAGTTTGGGTGAGGACTTCCCTGGGGGTCCAGTGAAAGACTCCTAAGAGTCCAAGACTCACTAAGACTCCAAGCTCCCAGTGCAGGGGGCCCGGGTTGGATCCCTGGAACTAGATCCCACATGCCGCAACTGAAGACCATGCATATAGCAACTAAGAACTGGTGCAGCCAAGTAACTAAACTAAAAAAGCTGGGGAGATGAAAATGCACTATATTCCACTGCTCATGGCTAAATGTGTACATACCCTTGTCGACATGCAGCAAATGGTACATTTAAAATGAATATATTGTAATGTAACCTTAATCAAGCTAATAAAACTAAATGGGAAAAAAAAAGAACAACCAGCAGGCAGTTCCTAAAACGGCGCCAGAGCTGCGGGGAGAGGGACCGGGGCACCCACCTCCTGCAGCGTGGCCGCGCACAGCTCGATGGCGATGTACTGGAACTGCCGGTCCCTCTCGGTGCAGAAGTAGCGGATCACGTTCGGGTGCTCGTCCGACTCTCTCAGCAGCTGGACCTCACGGTCCGCGAAACTGAAACACTCGGGGAGGATCCTCTTGACTGCCACGTCGCGGTTGTCAAACATGCCCCTGCCGGACGAGGAGAGGAAGGCGGGCTGAGGAAACGCTCGGAGAGCCCTGGGCCCGCAGGGCTCCTTCCACCGACGCGGCGGCTGCCTCGGCAGCCTCACAGCCCAGGGTGTCCCGACCCACCACCCGGAGGCCCCATGGCCATCACTACCCTCCCTGGGGGAGCTCTTCCGTCTGGTCACCGCAATGACCCCCCTGCGCCCCGGGAGCCGATGGGAGCTCCTGCGTGAGGCGGTGGGGGTACGTGGCTCTCCAGACCACTCACCGGTACACAATCGTGCCCTCAGCTCCGTGGCCCAGGACGTCCTTTGGACAGAAGGAGATTTTCCCAACAATCACCATGCTGGTCTCCTCATCTGGGTCAAAACAGGGAAAAGAACAGACGTGACCTAAAGAACCTTGAAACCAGAGTGGCTGTGAGCTCCCTGAGGTCAGATGGAGGAATGAGAATTCAGGTTTTACGCCCCTGGGGCCCTGGTGAGCAGGAGCCCCTGGGTCCTCTTCCCACGCTCGTCCAGGGCCGACTCCTCGGTCTCCACCCTCTGTTCCTGATTTACATTAATTACTGTGAGGACAGGAGCCTGAAGACAGGGCTTCTCTACAGGTCGGCCTAAAGGTCTGGCTCTGAAACACTCAGGTCGTGACGGGGGCGGGGGGTGTGTGAAGTGGAGAGACTAGTAGCAGAGTCTGCAACCTGAGACCCAGGACTCTGGGGTCTCCTGCCCTGGTCCTGCATCCATCCCCCCAGAACATCAGCCCCGACAGTCAGTCTGAGCCCACCTCCCCGAGGAAAGCGGCTCCACAGCTGCACATGTATGTGTGGTCCCTGGCCACCCTGGGGGATGCTCTGGACCCAGACACCAGGGTAGCTTAGTCGGCAGCGACTCCCAGCCCCAGCAGAGTGAGACGGAGGAAGGGGTGCCATGGTGGCCCCCAGGAAAGAAGCCCTCTGAGGGCAGAGGCTGAGCGATGGGGCAGAAGCCCAGCCCCCGAGTGGGAGGGAGGGTGGGAGGGGTGAGACCTCAGCAGACCCTGGGAACTTCATAAACCCGTGGAGACCCCCCGGAGGCTCTGGGGGCTCTGTGGTCCTCAGGCTGTGTTTCCACAAAAGAGCAAATGGCAGCTCCCTTTACCCTCATCGTCCTGCTCCGGGAAGGGGCTGGTGACAGCCTTGGAGGTGGAGCCGGTGGAGTGGACCGAGTGGTTGGAGGCTCGGGGGGACGTGTTGGGGCTGCTGGTGGCCGAGCTCTCTGAGTACTGGCCGGACGAGTCCTGGAGCTCGGCGTCCTGTGCCGCGTCCCCGGGTGGGTGGAAGGGCAGCTGCTGCTGCTGCAGGAGCTGGATCTTCTCCAGTTCCTTCTGGAACTGCTGGTGCTGGAGCTGCCGCTGCTGGTGGATGCTCTGGGAGGAGAAGCACATGCCCGGGCCAGTGCAGCCGCTCCCCCGGCGGACGGGCGGGCGAGGGAGGACGGGCTGCCTATGGCAGAGGAGCGGGGGACACTGGACGTGACCCTGGGGGCGGGACGCGACCAGTAAGAAGGCAGCGGGGGCAGAATCGGGTCAAGGGCTGGATGGAGGTCTTCCTGCCTGTCAGACTTCCTAGGACAGCCCATTCCCCCGACTGGAGGGGCCGGCAGTGGCAGCCAAGGAGGGATTCTGATATAGGTGGAGGACTCGGCCGGGTGGTGGGAGTTCCGTTCAATTCTACGGTTCTGGGGCTTTTCTGAAAGTCTGGGGTAATTCCCTGGCGGTCCAGAGATTAGGACTCTGAGCTTTCACTGTCCAGGGTGTGGGTTCAATCCCTGATTAGGGTGCGTGCTAAGTTGCTTCAGTTGTGTTGGACTCTTTGCAACCCCATGGACTGTAGCCCGCTGTCCATGGGATTCTCTAGGCAAGAACACTGGAGTGGGTTGCTGTGCCCTCCTCCAGGGGATCTTCCCAACCCAGGGATCGAACCTGCGTCTCTTATGTCTCCTGCATGGGCAGGTGGGTTTTTTTTAATTTTTTTTATCACTAGTGCCATCTGGGAGTGTGGCCAAAAAAATTAAAATCATGAAAGCCTGAGGATTGGTGCAAGAGTGAAACCAAACAGGAAGAATGGGTACCAGGTGTCTGAGAGCTCTACCGTGGCCATGCACGTGGCGGAGGCTTGTGCAAAGATCAGCAGTGAAGATCAGTGCAGAGTGAGGACGCTGGGGCTGAGATGTGGGGAGCCTGGCCGAGGTCGGGTTCCCAGTTCATCCCGCTGCCTTCCCCATGCCCACACGCCTCTCATTTAATCTGAATGACACATTCCATCCTAGTTTGAAGTAGCAGCGACTGTGATTATTAATTGTCCCCATGAGTGGGAGGGAGGGTGACTCCAAGGATGGGTGTGTAGCCAACACTTTCCTGGGAGTTTTCTGGAGAGCTCGCTCTCTCTTTTTCAACTTGGGTTGAAATTCTGGAAGTTTCATCTAGTAGCTGGGTTACCTTGGGAGAGTTACTGAACTTCCCAGAGTCTAGTTTCTTTCTTTGTGGGTAGGGGATAAATAGGGCTTCCCTGGTGGCGCTAATGGTAAAGAATCCGCCTGCCAATGCAGGAGACCCAAGAAATACACGTTTGATCTCTGGGCTGGGAAGATCCCCTGGAAAAGGAAATGGCAACCCTCTCCAATTTTCTTGTCTGGGAAATCCCATGGATAGACCATGCCCCTTGGCTTGTGGGATCTTGGTTCCCTGACCAGGGATGGAAACCAGGCTCTGGGCAGCAAGAGAGCAGAGTCTTAACCACTGGACTGCCAGGGAATTCCCATGTGTAGTCTTAAAAAAGAAAATACAGTTAAGTATTTAAAATGATCTGCAAGCAAGGTTTCCAAATCAATTTTTACAGTCAAACTGTAAGTTGTAAGTACAAAACTGTAATTTCCTGAGAAGTGAGCATCTCTTTGATTACAATGTTTTTGAAGGTAAGCCAATATTGACTCTAAAGTGGGGGGAAAAAAGTATTTGCTTGTTTGTTGCCTTTGTCTGGAACTCACTGACAGGCAAAGGTTCAGAAACAGGTGGGTGGAGGGGGGTGTGGTGGGTGAAGGAGCAGACCCTTACCAGGGGGTAGGTGATGATGAAGGCCACCCAGCCAATGAGCAGGAAGGTGCTTAAGATGATGGTGGCCATGTCCTTGAGCATGGAGTCCACGGGGGCCTCAGGCTTGGCAGGGGCGTGATCGAACTTCTCTTCCATGTCCGGAGAAACCGTGGTAGGTGCGTTTTCTGAAGTCTGGTCAACCAGGTTGATGACCTTGTGTGGGAGAAAGTGGCGACATCACTGCTCAATTTCCAGCCAGATATAAAAGAGCCAAACAATCAGGAGAAGCCATGACTCAGCTCAGATGGGAGTGGGGTTTGGGGGAGAATGAATACATGTGTGTGTTTGGCTGAGTCCCTTTGCTGCCCACATGAAACTATCACAACATTGTTAATCGGCTAGACCCCAGCACAAGATAAAAAGTTAAAAAAAGTAGGAGAGAGAAGCCATGATTATTTATGAGCAATGACTATGCTGTGAAATATGTTGGATTGTTTTTAAAGCCCACCCAAGACCACGAAGCCAGATAACTGTTGCCCTTTTCAAAGCAACTGCCTTGAGAAGCCATGCGCTATTGCAGTGATGGAATCATTACTCAAAAAAACGGTTTTCAGAGAAATACTTTAGAAAGTGCCTTCACATGCAATATTGTTTCGAAAATCCTTATTTAAGGCAAAACCCTCTTTGGACGGTAGATTTGCTGTTTGGGGAAACTCTGAAATCTTCAGTAACAAGTCTGGTGGAAAGCTGGTGGTCCACTTGGTAACAGCATTTCACATTAAAAAGGAAAACACACAATCACACAATCTAGGAAGTAATAAAGCAGCTTTCCAACATTGCTTGTAAATTTTCAGTGCGACTCCAAACACAAAAACACTTATTCAAACAGTCCACTATATTTCAAAGTTTTTAAAAAGCATTAGGGTCCTTTGTTAAGCCCCAAATTAACTCAGATAAAGTGGAGTTTTTGACCAAACTCTTCAGAAACTGTAGGACTTCTAGAAAAATGCATTGATTTGTTCTGGGACATCTACTTGTCCAGGCGTGCTACAATTATTTGCTGGATGAGATGGACACACAGCCTCCTTGGCACCCCCCATGTGCTCACAGCTCCCTCCCCCTCCCTCGGGCCCTCCACCGGGTGGCCTGGCTGGTGGCAGCTGAGGAATGTGTGCTGACCATGTGACCAGAGACAACACCACTCATTTGGTTATATTTGCTCAAGTGTGTTTGTTTTTAAAAGTTAGTCTTAATACCAGACAAATGCACATTAGAGTATTATAATGGACTTTCAAAGGACTCTTTGCTCAAGATGGAAAGATTATATAGAAAAATCTTAATGACAACCATCTCTGGGTGTTAGATCAAGGGTACTGTTTAATTTTCTTTTTAGACTTTTGCTTTCTAGGGTTTAGTAACAAATATGCTGGGCTTTACTCAGATCAAAATCAGATGCAGATTTTAGGGCCCTGATCCCTCTCCAATCTGGCTGCCTCCAAAGACGAGGGACAACTCAGCATGTCCCTGAATCTTAAATGTCCATGTGATTTTCTTTCAGTTTCTCTCTGAATAAAAACCTAAAACTCTAATGTGAATTTGATATGATCACAGCGCACCCCCCCCCCCACATCCAGTTACTCCCCTTTCTCTGGCCCTTCTGAGTCACAGGACCCTCACCGGCAGGGCTGCAGTATCCGCCAAGCCCGAACGGCCTCTGGACCCCCACCCCCAGCCCCCACCTCTGGGCCCCGACCCCCAGCCCCCACCTCTGGGCCCCAACCCCCCAGCCCCCACCTCTGGGCCCCGACCCCCAGCCCCCACCTCTGGACCCCCACCCCCAGCCCCCAGCTCTGGGCCCCGACCCCCAGCCCCCACCTCTGGACCCCCACCCCCAGCCCCCAGCTCTGGGCCCCGACCCCAGCTCCCACCTCTGGGCCCCAACCCCCAGCTCTGGGCCCCGACCCCCCAGCCCCCACCTCTGGGCCCCGACCCCCAGCCCCCACCTCTGGACCCCCCACCCCCAGCCCCCACCTCTGGGCCCCGACCCCCAGCCCCCACCTCTGGGCCCCAACCCCCAGCTCTGAGCCCCAGCCCCCCAGCCCCCACCTCTGGGCCCTGACCCCCAGCTCTGGGCCCTGATCCCCCAGCCCCCACCTCTGGGCCCTGACCCCCAGCTTTGAGCCCCAACCCCCCAGCCCCCATCTCTGGGCCCCGACCCCCAGCTCTGAGCCCCGACCCCCCAGTCCCCACCTCTGGGCCCCGACCCCCAGCTCCCAGCCTCCTGCAGCCTCCGCACCTACCCTGCGCCCCAGAGGCTGCGCACATGGGCGGAGCGATGGTCTCCCCGCCCCCTGGCTTCCACCAGCAGATGAGACAGGGCTGGAGCTCTGTGGGTCTTGGAGCATCTTCACTGGAGCCCCAGGCTCCACTCCCTCCCCGCTGGCTTCAGGCTCAAGTATGCTCTGAGAACCCCAGAACTGCCCATGGTGTGAAGGAAACCCCCCTCGAATCATCCTAGTTTGGGTGGTCGTCTGCTTCCGGCTGAGAGCCTGAGAGCAGGCTTCACATCCTGGGGCTCAGGAGGGCGACCTGGGCCGAGTCGGGCGGGCTTCCCGAGTGCCCCACACCCACTCAGCAGGCGCCCTGGGTCCCCGCCAGACAGAGCGGCCAGAGCAGGCCATGCCTGGCTTGAGAACTCCTCAGTCTCCCACCTGCTCTCTCTGCCAGCTCTCCCCTCACTGCCCCGCCTGGAACACGGCTCCTGCATGGTCACCTGACCATGTCTCCCACGGCTCCCTGCCGGGCATCCTACAATCCCGTCAGGCTGTCTCCTCAGCCCCGGAGCTGGACGCACAGGGGTAACCCCGCTCTGGGCCTTCACCTCTGCCTGCTTCCCTCCAGCACGCCCACCGCCTCGCCCACAGGCCCCCGCCCCGCCGTCAGCCCTCCGCACTTTGTCTGCTGTGGATTCCACTACACCCCTTCCCCTCCTGAGTGGACTGCAGGTCCTAAAGGCAGGATAGATGCCTTATCCCCCAGCTCCTGACTCGGGTGCCGGTGCCTGACCGTCCATGTCCCCACTCACCTCCTCAAAGCTCTTCTTCTCCGAGTCGGCGGGAATCACGTTCTCCCGGTGTTTGGGCAGATTGTTGGGGAAGCGCTCCAGCATTTTGGTGGACGCGGACAGTGGGGTTTCGTGGTGTCCTGCCAGAGGAAGCATGGCCTCTAATGAGAACAGTTTCCCCACGCGGTGGCTGCACTCGACACTCAACTGAGACATCAGTCGCCACCCAGAGAGGCGCCCTCGATGAGAGCTGGGGACCGGAGGAACTCCACCAAGACAGAGCTCTTACCTTCGAAGGCCACGCATGCAGTATTCTAAATCTCACAAAAAGGAGCAAAGACGTGGTCCTGTCATGAGAAGGACTGGGATGTCCAGGACACATTCAGGGCAAGGTGTGCGTGCGCGCACGTGTGTGTGTGTGCTCAGTCGTGTCCAACTCTTTACAATCCCATGGACTGCAGCCCGCCAGGCTCCTCTGTCCATGGGATTCTCCAGGCAAGAATACTGGAGTGGATTGCCATTCCCTTCTCCAGGGGATCTTCCTGACCCAAGGATTGAACTCTGCAGGTCTGCTGCATTGCAGGTGGATTCTTTGCCATCTGAGCCCCCAGGGAAACCCCCAAGAACTAGTCTGAACTATGTATACTTCTCATCTGGAGAAATCCCCTTGAACTCTCTCTCTAGGTCAGTTCTCTACACCGTCAACACTGCTCATTAAGGGAAGCCTAGGTTTGTTATGAGCCACCATCAAGTTCCCCTCATCTTTCAAGGAACACTGAGATGGCAGGATTTCCTGAACTGGTTGTCTGCCTCAGACCTCTTACTCACACTTGCCAGTGGGGCCCAGGGATCTGACCCGGGAGTGTCTCCAGGTACCTATGAGGCTCGCGAACAGCAGACCCTCAAGCTAAGAGGAGTAAGGTTGCCCCTCCACATGCCACCCTGAACTGTGGCACTCTGCCTGCTGCTCTCAGGGTTCCAAGTCCTGTCCCTTGGCCGGGTACCACCCAACACTGTGATGAGCCCGAATCCCCTCTTCCGCCCACAGTCCTTATAAACAGGCCTTCCCCTAGAGGAGCCTTTAGCAGCATCATGGAGGGCACTCTGAACCTGCTGTGCTACCAACGTTGACTGAGACCCTGAAACATTTCTGTGCAAATAGGACCTGGTCTTCTGATTTTCCAACAGAGCCATGAAGACTTTTTTCTGGATCTTTCATGGTCTCACATACATATTTCCTCAGTTTCCAGTAACTTTTTTTTTTTTTAATTTTATCTTTGGCTGAGCTGGGTCTTTGTTGCCACGCGTGGGCTTTCTCCAGTTGTGGGGAGTGGGGGCAGTGCATGGGCTTCTCTCTGTGATGGGTTGTTTTGTGGCACAGCACAGGTTCTAAGCGCAGGGGCTCCAGCAGTTGTGGCAGACAGGTTTAGTGGCCCCAAGGTACGTGGGATCTTTCTGGGGCAGGGATAGAACCCATGTCCCCTGCATTAGCAGGCGGATTCTTAACCATTGGACCCACAGGAAAGCCCAGTTTCCAATAATTTTTTCATTCTTAACCACTGGTAGACAGTCAATGCAACCCGTAACTGCTTTATAAAACCAAGGGGCCCTGTGATATTAACGGCCTCTGCCCATCAGTTCTTTCTTTCCTCCACTTTGGGCCCATTCTCAACATGCTTTCCAAACTACATCCATTCAGAAAAAAGGGTAGAATTATTTTCTTATCTCCTATACCCACGATTTGGTAAAAGTAATAACAGAAGAAGAATGGAACAAGGAGTCAGGATGAACAAAGAACAACAGGCCTGGATGATGGTAAAGGGACGCATGGCGGCTCCAGGACATCTAGCTTCCTCTCTGTGATGCCCAGTTACGCCCCCCTTGGTGAGTAAACGGGCACATGACACCCGAGGGCAGTGAGTGTGACCGATGAAGGCAGAGGTGACAGGAGCTGTGTCTCTGGCGAGCCTCCCAAGTAGTTAGAGTAACCCCCCATCCAGATGCCACTGCCTGGCTGCCTCCCGGGTCTGCAGGCTCCTAGGCGGCCCTGCCTCCCCAGGTCTGACCTCTCTCTGCCCTGGCCCCAGTCCGCATGAGCACTGGGAGAGAATGGTGGGGAGAAAGTTCATCAGCCCCAGTACCGCACCCGCTCTGGGGCAGGAGACGGCAGAATCGGGGAGTGGGCGCCACACAGGAAGGGCAAACCTGATCAAGAAGACTGTCTTGCTCTAATTACTTGTGATGCTCACCAACCGCTCCTGTCGCCTCTGCCTTCCTCGGTCACACTGGCTCACAGGGGCCTCCAAGCCTGGGGCATCAGGGACGGCAGCAGAAACAGAAGAGGAGGGAGAGGGGCCATCCCACACCCCCGGGACTTCTGCCTGCTGTGGCTCCTGGGCCGCCGTCCAGCCTCTGCCTCTTCCACCCTCGGTCCCTCCAGGGCCTTCAACTCTTTCCTCTCCAACCCCTCCTGCTCACCCAACCCCAACTCCCAAGTGAGTTCCTCCACAGAGGGTGCCTGCTCCCTTAACTCTTAACTGGATACAACAAGGGAGCCGACCTTGCAAAGGGGTCATTTGTGGGAAATCAGGAAATATTCCAAAGTGCCTGGCACAGACATCCAGCACATGTCAGACCAGTGCACAGAGCTTGCAATATTTAGTACCGGAGTTTTGGGACATTAGTCAAATGATTTCTGAGAACTGACTTGGTAATACAGCTAGCCTGTTTTGTTTTCCTTGGGGGTGAAATAGTCCGCGGTCTGAAAGACCAGCGTGGACAGGCACCGAGCACAGAGCTGAGCGCTGTGACTGGTAATGTTGTCTCTTGGCCACAAGGAGGCAGCAGGTCATCGCCGGTGCCCCGAGGAGCTGACTTACCGATGAGCAACCAGTAGTTCCGCAGGTAGTTGAGCTTGTTCTTGCCTTTGAGCCCGGGGTCGAACTTCAGGTCCGTGCTGGGCGTGATCACACACTCCCCTTTGTCCCCGATGGTGACACCGTCGGTCTGGGGGCCTTCCAGCAAAGGAAGTGTGCTACCCCTGGGCTGTGAAGACAGACCGGAGTGAGGCTAGGGGCGGCCAGGAGGACAGCAGTATTCCTGTGCGGAGCTGGCTGGGAAGGCAGTTCGGTTCAGCCGCTCAGTCGTGTCCGACTTTCTGTGACCACATGGACTGCAGCACGCCAGACTTCCCTGTCCATCACCAACTCTGGGAAGGCAGAGTGGGATTCAAAGTCCCCAAGACGGGGCAGGAGCAGCCCTTCCCCTAGGATATGACAATGCTGCCCTGATGTCTTTTAAAATTCGGCTGTCTTTTTATTTATTTATTTACTTATTTACGCCACACTGTGCAGCATGTGGGATTTTAGTTCCTGGGCCAGGGATCGAACCTGTGCCCCCTTCAGGGAAAGTGTGAAGTCTCAACCACTGGGACGCCAGGGAAGTTCCTTGGGCGTCTTTTGAAATGCGGACATCTCTTTAAATCTAGGAACAGGGAAACAGGAAGGGTGTGTGTGGAATTCCACGAGGCTACTGTGACAAGCAGATATAAGTGATGGAATTCACACATGGTACAAGTGACCGGGGTGCGAACGCTCCAGCTGCGAGCCCAGTGCTGGCTCGGGCACCGCTGGACCCTGGCAGGCCCTGCCCCGAGCAGCTGACAGACTCACTGGGAAGACAGGAGATGCCAACCAAACAGCTCGAACACCGTAAGGACCAGAACAGCAGCCCGGATGGTGATGCCTCAGACTCTCAGAGGCGGGGGCGCTTGAGGCGAACTGGCAAGGCTGGAGGAGCCTGGACCAGTCACCAAAGGATGCCCAGGATTTGAGGAGGAAAAGGGAAGACAGGAGAACAATCGAAGTGTGAGGCGCAGCCTGAACAAGGGCCGAGAAAGATGGACAGGAAACTCTTGGAACTCAGGGAAGAGAGGAACGGAGCAGTCCCCACAGTGACACCGGCTGCGGGGCGGACGGGCACCGCGGGGCTGGCCTGCGGAGGGCCTGAGCCCCAGCTGGGGAGTCCAGACTTGAATCCAAAAGCCAAGGGGAGTAACCGGGGCTTCCCAAGCCCAGGAGGCTGCCTTAGTCAGAAGACTCTGCTCATGAGGTAGAACATGGTACGTGCACAAATTATCTCTGAGGATTTAGGATGTGTGTCTTGTGTCCTTAACAGGATGTTTGTATATAACTCAGTTGTTCTTTGCTGAAATGGAACAGGAGTGCTTCGAGGTTGCCTCCGTGAGCCCCACCCCCGAGCCCCCAGAGTGGACTTACCACAACGGCGACGCCCTCGTGTACCATCGAGGGGGAAGCGTAGAGACTGGTGGAGTACTTCCCCACATACAGGGTGGGCCTAGAAGGAAGCACACAGATACATGCATTCCAATGTCATTTAAGCTCTGGACCCACAAAAGGGGGCTTTCTGGGGAGAGTCACAGCCCTGACTACCACCCCCAGGAAGAAGCACATGAACCCCCGAGCTCTGAGCGTGCGTGGAGAGGGTGAGAGGCAAGGGGACTGCCCTGGGCGTGAGGAGAGCAGGACCACCAGCCCTGATGTCACTGACGCCTTTGACGGGCCACCTGCCTGCAGCCCGGGTTTCTTCATTTGCAAGTGGCGGGTCTGCCTCGGTGGGTCTGCCCTCAGAAGGGACCCTGAGCAGTGATCACCCCGGGGGAGACTGAAGGCTGGAGTGCGTGCAGCCACCCCACAGCCTCTAAGACGGCCTGGCCAGCATGCTTTGATGACTGACCTGCCACCAGAATCCCCACCATGATGACTTGTGGACACCTAAAGATTCTAGATAAAGGTTCTACAGAAGCCTGGAGAAAAGTCTTATCTGAACGCCTGAAGCAAAGGGGCTGCACAGGAAATTTCAACTGGGTGAGACTTCCGGTGGATGGTCTGTCCCTGTTGGGGGCACTGAGGAGGGGAGGGGACCTTGCTTTGTCCGTGGTCGTCATGAGTGTGAAAACACGAGGTTGCATGTCCAGACCCTGCTAACCAGGGTTACTATCAACAGCCAGGCTCGGGGGTGGGTCACCCACTAAATTCTCTACACCCCTCTCAACAAACACCTTATTTGAACAGTGCTATGAACTCAGAGAACATTACACGCTCACTTGATCTTCTCCATGGCTCGGCAAAATGGGAAACTGAGGTTCAGCAAGGCTAAGCTGAGTTAGCCTTACAGGCTATTCACAGGTGGGGGTGGAGAACACAGGCCTGAGTCTTAGATACACACATACTCTGACACTTTTTTCCTGATTTTTAAAGCAAATACAACTTACAAAAAATTTTTTGGAAAATACAGAAAGTTAAAAAATAAACCACCTCTCCCGTATTCCCACCACAAGAGATAGATTTAATTGCACTGCAGTTACACTGGCAGTCTCTTTCCTATATCCTCCCATAATTTTGGCTTCCCCAGTGGCTCAGCGGGTAAAGAATCTGCTTGCAATGCAGGAGATACAGCAGATGTGGGTTTGATCCCTGGGTTGGGAAGACGCCCTGGAGAAGGAAATGGCAACCCACTCCAGTACTCCTGCCTAGGAAATCCCATGGATAGAGGAACCTGGTGGGCTACAGGCCATGAGGTCGCAAAGAGTTGGACGGGACTGAATGACTAAGCACCCTAGCACCCATAATTTCAATGTATTTAATATTCAAGAATCTGAAGTATCCAGGGGTGCCTACTTCTTAAGATTCCGAGGTTTCTGAACAAGCTGTTCTTGGCTGTTTATATTCCTCATGGCTTCGGGGTGTCTGCCCCGTGCCCTGGCACCCAGTTCATGGTACAGCACACTGCTACAGGACCAGAACGCCAGGGCCACGGCTGCGCCCTTTCCACCCCGAGTTCTGGACTCACGTCAGCTTGCTCTTGGCCTCCGTCTCCTTGGGGAACGGGTACTTCCACTTGGTGATGCGCCCCACCTCCCCCGACATGAAGGTCAGGTAGCGCAGGGTCTCCACGGCGACGTTGATGTGCATCACCTTCCGCAGACCCTCGCGCTGCCAGATGTAAAAGGCCACCACGGGCGAAGCATAGTTTTGGATCCACAGGACGTCCCCAGACTCGCTGTCCACCGTCACCACCAGCCCATCGCCATTGGACACAAAGTGGGACATCTCTGTATGAATCAGATAAACACAGCGTGTCAAGACTCACCTCAGCTTGCAACCACATCCTCCGTGCTCCTGCCAAGCTGCAGTCACCCGGCCAGAGGAAAGAGGCCTTCTGGAGTGTTCTCAGAATGCCTCCCAACAACTCTACTGGCTTTCAATGAATCTGCTTAGGCTCTACGACAGTGAGAGCTGCCTGGTTTATAAACGGGAGACAGGGTCACCCTCTCACGTGGCGGTGTTCTTTTTTCACTTGGTAATTTTGGGTTTCCCTGTGGCTCAGATGGTAAAGAATCTGTCTGCAGTGTAGGAGACGGAGGTTCCACCCCTGGGACGGGAAGATCCCCTGGAGAAGGGAATGGCAACCCACTCCAGTATTCTTGCCCGGAGAATCCCATGGACAGAGGAGCCTGGCGGGCTACAGTCCATGGGGTTGCAAGAGTCGGACACGACTGAGTGACTAACACAGTACACACACAATTAGTGGGAGTAAATAGTGCAGAGAAGGGAACCAGAGGAGATCCTGAGAACCTGGCATCTTACAGCCATCCTTTCAAAGCTGCCAGTCAAGCTGGACAGTCAGGGCTGACCACTGACACTGGCCGCCGGAGACCCCAGAGGACATCTGTCAGACTTTCGGGTACCGGTGTTAAGATGGCAAAACTGGCTTTTAGTCTTCACACTGGCCGCAGGAGACCCCAGAGGACATCTGTCAGACTTTCGGGTACTGGTGTTAAGATGGCAAAACTGGCTTTTAGTTTTCATTTGAGTTGGGGGAATGCTTCATACAGAAATAACTTGGGAATGAGCCACAGTTATGGAGGTGGTTGTTCATATCAAACTGACATTTAATTCTGCTTCCCATGGGCTTGTAGTCAACTCCTGCGACATAGAGGGACTCCACGAAGTGTGTTCTCCCTCCTCTCGGGGTAAACTCGCCACTGTTTTACCTGGGTTCCCTTCATACTTCTCACTCAGGCCCCTGCCTTACACACTGGCTGTTAAAAAATAGATAAGTAAAAGGGAATTCCCTGGCAGTCCAGTGGCTAGAACTCATACTTTCACTGCAAGGGGCCAGGGTTCGATCCCTGGTAGGGGAACTAAGATCCTGCAAGCCACGTGGTACAGCCAAAAAGAAAAAAGGAAAACAAAAACCCCACTGACTGTTTAAGTATTTACTACAAGTCCACGGGAAGTCCAAAACCTGGTGACCAAGAAGGTCTTAAAAGGAAATTCGGCTTTCTGGAACCCTGGTTTCCCCACAGGGCATAAGTGCCCGCCCGACTGCGCCATGCCAGGGAGGCTGGGGCAGCCTACTCACTGTAGTCCCCGTCGTCCTCGGGCAGCGCGGCCGCGTAGTCGAAGTAGGTGGCGTTCCAGCGCAGCTCGCGGGTCTTGGTGTCGTACATAGTAATGGTGTACTCTGAGAGGGGAACACACAGCGGCCTGTGACCTGCAGGGGCCATGACACCTGCAGGGGTGCTGACCTCATCTAAATCACAACAGACGAACCCTCCCCAAGCGGCGTCTAAGAAAGTCCAGGCTGTCCATGTGGGGAGAGAGGCCATGGGAAGGATTGGAGTCCTGAACGCATGAGTGAACCCGGCCCACAGCCTGTGGAGCAGAGACAGGCCGCCCATGCTGTGCCCTTGAACTCAAGGCTCCCGAATCATGAGCAATGTCCTGGTGGTGTTTTAAGCTACGTAAGTTTTCAGGTGGTTTACTATACAACAGAGAGCGGACATTAGAAATCGGTACCTAGATGTGGGATGGTGCCGTAACAGAAACCTAAAACACGCGGCACCGACTTTGGGACTGGGAGGCAGATGGAGGCTGGAGGAGCAGTAAGGGAACAGCTGATGGAAGTGGAAAACGATGACCCAGATTAGGTGGTGGTGACACAGTTATTAGTAAGACCACTTCTTGCTGTAACTGGAAAAATAGAAAGATTTAAGCAAGTGATGAACTTGTGGCTCTGACTAAGGAGATTTCCAGGCAGAATGCAGAACACGCCAAATGGTTTCTCTTAACTGCGTGTGGTATGACACAAGGCCGATAAGCTAAAGAGGAAACCACTCCGTTTTCAAGTTGAATGTAGAGGAAATATAGAGGGTCCGGGACTGATGCTCCAGCTGGAAAACACTCTCAACATAAAAAATGGCCTTAGGGCAGGACTCTGCAGGTGGTCCAGTGGTTAAGAATCTGCCTGCTAATGCAGGGAACACAAGTTGGATCCCTGGTCTGGGAACTAATATCACACACGCTTCAGGGCAACTAAGGCTGTGCGCCGCAACTACTGAAGCCGACGCTCCCTAGAACCTGTGCTCCACAAGAGAAACCATCACTATGAGAAGCCCGTGCACTGTGATGAAGGGTAGCCCCCGTCTGCTGTAACTAGAGAAAGTCCACACGCAGCGGCAAAGACCCAGCACAGCCAAAATGAATTAATTAAAAGAAAAAGGCCTTAGGGCAAAGATCAGGTTCAGGTGCTTCCAGTAAAAAATGGCTTCAGGGATCAAGATCAAATCAAAGATGAAGCTGTAAGACCCTCCTCTAGGGCCTCAGAAAGATTCAAGGTGATCCTCCATCGACCTGCTTCCCCTTGTAGCTCTATTTCAGCTGTCCATTCCATAGCTCTTATGGAGCAGCGGTGTAGGTCAGGGCGGCACCTGTGAAATTTGGAAGGTGGGTCCCTAGAGGGAAGGGCCGCCCGCCCACCCATTCACTCGCTGCAGCCTCTGAGCCCCCGCCAACCTGTCAGCATCCTGCCAGGCGTGGAGACTCGGCAGGTGAATAAGACCAAGTCCTGCCCTCAGGAAGCCAACAGTCTAGACAGGAGGGCAATTACGATTTAGAAATGCTTGGCGACAAGAGTTGAGAAGGAGGAGGAGGCTGAAGAGAGAGGAGGTGGGAGATGGTGCGGTGGGGAGGCTGCTGATGCCTAAAAAGGGCCAGTGATGGGCGGTGTGGACAGCTGAGGCTGAGAGCAGGCAGCCACAGAGGTGGGGGCTGTATCACAGGAGCTTCATAATCCTCGGGCAACGGGGAGCTCCCAGGGGGTATCATAAAGGGGAACAACATGTAAACCTGTGTGTGGACCAGACCGCTCTGGGTGCGTTCCAGAGAATGAAGCCTGGAGGCAGAGACCCCAAGGGAAGGCTATTTCAGGTCATTGTTCACAATCAGGCAGGCTGTACACGATCAATGGTTCCTTCTTACCTGTTCGCCCCAGATACAGCAGAGAGGCTGATGGGCAGAGGCTGTCTGCAAAGGCTGATGACAGGGTCTGCTGCTTCTCTCCGGTCAGGAGGTCGATAACGTACCAAATGTCCTGCTTTTTACCTACAGGGTCACAAAGACACATGGTGGTTAACACTCACCCAACATGGAAAAAAAAAAATATCCCCACCAAATCAGCAGCCCAAGATGCTCTCTGAGCTGAGAAACAGGCCTGAGATTCTCACGAGGTTGAAGACACTTATTTGATGCTCTGTGGGTGACCAGGTTAATGGTAATGGGCAGATAATAAAGCTTCTTGGGCCACTGGGTTCTGTAACAACTTAATAACCTAGTCGTGGTATAAAAATGTCTCCACGCCTAATAACATAACAACGCACAGATTTTATTGCTCTGATGAGTAGCATTAAAGATGAAAAATCTGGCCTGTTAAGACAAACCTTTTCCCATAGACTAGGATCTATATAAATCCAGAAATGCACCCAGGGCTCATCTCCCTGGTAACCATCATTCACACATCTCAACATCCCTACTAATGAGCCCTCATGTAAAGAGGATCTACAGACACTATTTTATAACTCTAATTAGCTGGTAACTGTGACTGGGCAGTAGAGCTGGTGGCAACTATGTGCTAATGAGGCCAAAGTTATCTCAGCCTCCACCAGTAAGTGACTCCCCAGCCACACGCTACACCCCTCCTCTCGGCCAGCTGATTATAAGGTATGAACTGGGGGACAGCGTAGCTAAACAACACAATTAGCAAAACTCAAACCTATGGTTACATACACCAGGGCATCCTGGTAATGGCAAGTTCCTAAGAAAACTGTTTTATAAACACTCCGTATTGTTTTGATGATTTTATTATGTTTGTTTATTTTTGGTTGTGCTGGGTCTTCACTGCTGCGTGCAGGCTTTCTCTAGTTGCGGTGCACAGGCTTCTCATTGCAGTGGCTTCTCTTGCTGCAGAGCATGGGCTCTGGAGCACATGGGCTACAGTAGTTGCAGCTCCTGGGCTTTGAGCACAGGCTCAATAGTTGCAGTGCTCGGGACTAGTTGCTCCGAGGCAGGTGGGATCTTCCTGGATCAGGGATGGAACCCGTGTCTCCTGCACTGGCAGGCGGATTCTTTACCACTGAGCCACCAGGGAAGCCCAATACAGGGTATTATTTCCACTATGGTTTCAAGATGAACACAGCTCCTGCCTGAAGGTCAACACCTTCACTGTGATGTGCACGTTTCTGTTTTGTAAGGTCTGTCTTCCAAAGACAAGCCTTCTCTCTGCTCACTCGTCTCTTCCCACCTTATTGGCTATGTTTCCTATTTCAAGGGACTCTTGGAAGCCAAGTACCGAGATGCCAGCAAGCTCACAGGGCACCTGAATCTCCTAAAGCTACACCTAGTTCTAACAGAGGGAGCATACGTGCCAGTCCACACGTCTGAAACTCGTCCATGGATCCTAACTTCCTGCTCCCAGCGACAAATCTTAATATGAAAAAGATCTTAAGATGGAGATAAAACATCACCCAACAGCTGGGGCCAGAATCCCTTTCTGTCCGGCCTGGGCGCCCTTCTGGTTACTACAAGGACCGTTGACAGTCTGCGTGACCCAGCTACCACTTTAATGGATGGGTCGGGGCAACTGCCACAACTTTAAATGCACCCTAAGTAACGAATTGTTGGTCAGAGCTGGAAGATCAGCCAGACAACAGTGACTACAGATGGTGAGAAGATGTTCAGAGGGGCCCGGGCACAGCTCAGAGCACAGAGAAAGCCTCTGTTGATCACTTCCCCTGAATCCCTGGGCCAGGGGCTTCCTCATTCTGAAGGTGTGGAAAGAAGAGCCCCAGTCTCCTTAGACAAAGATGTAAAATCCAGCCAGGTCCTGTGCTTGAGACCCAGAAACACACATAAAAAGCCTCCAAGGCATGAACAGGCCATAAGCACTTTCAGTTCCTCAGAAATAAAGCTGCTTTATAAATACAGGATATTATTACTACTATGCTTTCAAGATAAATACAGCTCTCCTTTGTGTCACAAATGCATTTTTATTGACATTTTGGCAGCAACCTGGTCAAAGAAAAGCAGCTGATCTGATGCTTTGAAAGACGTGACCCCTGTAGGTATGAAGGCGGCTTATCTAAGCAAGCTGTTAAGTGCTGTTTTTATCCAATATTCTGATAGCAGGAAATACTAAGAAAGCCCTATAATTAATAGGCAGAACCTGGCTTCCCTTTCTTGGCTCCAACTATTGTAATTCACTTTAAATTTCATCCAGTTGCTTCTGGGTATGTTGCAATCTGTAAATCGCAGGGGTAGGTCAACACAGCAGCTGAAAGCTTGTTCAATGAGTAACCATATGAATGGTGTCAGATCTGCTCCCAAGTGGGGTGGTGGGGGGAACCCTTTCTTAACTGGTCAGCTAATCCTGGCCTGAACCAGCACAACCGAGGCAAGAAAGGCCTTCCCCAGAAGGGTGGATAGAGGAATGACTATACACACATCTCCTCTCTCTCAGACCCACCACCTTCCCAGATTGCGGCGTTCGCTTCCAAAAGGGATCAGCGTCAGGAACTCTTACCCATGTAGAGAATGCCATCTGAGCTTCGGCACGGAGATGCCTGCACCAACTCAGGGATCGTAAAGGGAAGTTTCTTTAAAACAAACCAAAGGAAAAAAAAAAACAAAAAAGCAAAGCAAAAAAAAGTTAACAAGGTCTTGTGCAATGATTCCAGTTTCACTGCAGTCTGTTTCTGTTACCCAATTCTGCTAAAAAGAGATGGCACATCGGGGTTTTCCTAACTGGAAACCAAGGAGAAGGGGGCACCCTAGGCTCCCCGCACACTGTGGGCAAACCCTTGGCTTCCAGGTCCTGGGTGCCGGCCACACTGGGTCTTTTATGTGACACGCCCCCTGGAAGTCTCTAGTCCAGAGCCCTTCTGGGGCTCTTTGACCTTTTCTGAAAAGATACACAAATATGGAGAGAACTACACAATCTTTGAAATCCTAAGGCTTGGGGGTGGGGGCGGGGGGGGGGTTGGAGGGAGAATTGCCCTGTCTTGGAAAACTGTCCCAGAGCTGCTTAGACGGGAGTAGAAAACACCCCTCAGAGTGAGAGTCAACCACGAGACTGTCCTGAAGGGCGGGCTCGACGGAAAAGAGAAGCCATTCTCTGTGGGCAACACAGGCGAGTTTGGGGAAGGAAGAGAAGTTTTGGTTTGTCTCTAGCAACGAATTCTCCTACTGAAAAACAGAAGAAGATTGGGCTTTTTGGTATTAAAAGGAAGTTATGGTAGGTGCGGGAAAAGAAACTCGGAGCAGTCCACATGTTTCAACTGCATTTCATCATAAAAACCGATCTTTCAGAGTTGACAGCTGACATCTGACAAGCTCTTTGGGTTCGAGTTTGTTTCAGAACACTTTATTTTTGGAACATTATGTGTTCTTGAAACCATCCCGTGGCTACCTGCATCATGACAACTGTCACCTTTTTGCCAAGAAAGCAAAGTCAACAGAATTTTCAAGGAACCAATAATGAGGATTTTCCCGTCATCCCAATGTTTAAACTAAGCCTTAGCAGAAAAAAGTATGCCCTGAAGAGGCTGTCCTGAGCGGGCTTCTTCCAGGTGTTTCTGAGGATTAGAATGTTGTTGCAAGGTTTTCAGTCTGGAGTGTTTTCCAGTCTGCAGTGTCTGGTTGAGTGTGGCCACCTTGGCCTCCTGATTCGAGGCCCAGGCTGGAAACCACGTTCTTGGAGCTGCTAAACCACACCAGGCGGTTTGTGGGTGGTGGCAAGAGCAGCCTCTGGAAGGTGGGGGTTCATGGAGCACCCCCTCCACCTGGTGCTTTGGCCTTGGGCACATTCCTTCACCTCTCTAGGCACACTTTCCACACCTCTGCTGTGGAGATGACCATATGTCTGGGCCCATTTCTAAATTCTCTTTCTGGGGAGCTTTTTAAAAAAATCCTGAAAACCTAGGTCAATCAAATGGGGACTTTAGGATTGGGACCTAGACGGTATTTTTTTAGAGATTTCCAGGTTATTACAATGTACAGCTAAGGTTGTGAACCACTGGTCTATTCTCAAATGGAGGTGGGAATGGAATATAACCCACCCACCCCCACCAAGGGGATGTCTACTGGGGGAGTGTACAGTGTTGCAAACTACACTGCTCCCCCAAATTAAGAATCACTAAAGTTAGGGACTTCCCTGGTGGTCCAGAGGTTAAGACTGCACTTCCACTGCAGGGAGCATGGGTTTGATCCCTGGTCGGAGAACTAAGATCTTGCATGTCAGGTGGCCAAAAAATTTTAAAAAAAAGATACTAATAATAAATCACTAGATAAAGTGAGTCCTGTTCCTGAAAGAATATCACATCCTTCCAGTGTGCTGGGTAAGCCCTGAGAACCTGCTAGTACAGATCAGTGTTTTTAAACTCTGGGCTATACATTTAAAAGCTCATCGAGGGAACTGTGAAAAGACACCTCTGCCCAGGTGCCAGTCTGGACCACCTGATTCAGATTCCCAGAATTTTTTGTAAGTTCTCAGGAGATCTTGATGTACAGCTGTGGTTGAAGTCAGTGGTCTAGAACCTCCGGAGCACCAAGAAGCTAAATACACTCACCGTCAGGCCTTCGTTGTTCTTGCCCCCAAGCGTGTACAGACTGCCATCGTTGGGATCTGGGAGGAAGGCAGGCCTGCAGATCAAGCAGGAAGTATCAGTGACAGGTTACAGCCCAGGGCACAGAGTAAAATACCAAAGCCAGGCCAAACCATGATCGGTAGGGAGGGGTGTGTGTGCATAAAACAATTCCATCCACTTCTTTTTCATCTTAGCCACAGATAATAAAATATCCTTCTGGTAATCTCCAATGGTCCCCAACCTTTTTTTGGTACCAGGGACTAGTTTTGCGGGAGACGATTTTTCCATGGAAGGTGGGGTGGTGGGTAGGGGGGAGGGTGTGGTTTAGAATGATTCAAGTACATTCCATCTATTGTGCACTTTATGTCTATTATTATTACACCAGCCCCACCTCAGATCATCAGGCATTAGATCTCAAGAGGCTGGGGACCCCTGGTCTATACTATACTTGACGTGGAAAAAAAAAAAAAACCTGCAGTGGAAAACTAGTCCAAAAACACAGAAGAGTAAATCATCATTTGGTCAGAGCACACTGGCTAAAGGTACAATAGGGGGAAAGGACCCAGCAAGTCTGCTTTTCAGTTTCCAAGTCAGCTGCACATACAGGACCTCAACAATTAATGTTTAATAGCATGGCGTGGTACCTAAACAGGGAAAACAAATGTGTCTTTGGTGTTCCACAAACATTTATTTTTAGGAGGCAATAAAAGCAGACACTGACAGCTTGACATGAGAAAGAAGCTGCCTAGGGGATGGGCTGGGTTCTCACCCGCTGCTTCTCAGGGAGCAGGTTCAAGGTGTTCTTTTGAGACGCTAACCTGCTAACCACTGAATGACGACCAGTCACGCAGAAACCCCTGGCTGAATCTTTTCTCTCCCCAGTTTAAAGCATCATTTGAGGCTCTTAGAGATGCCATCCAAATTTTACTCCAACACACACACTCTAGGAACAAGTCATTTTCTTGTCTCCTCTCCACAGTTTAGCACAGTGAATGGGGCAGAGATCCAAAGATGCCTGGGCCCTTTTGAGGACTTTGGAAGCTTAAGCTCAAACTCACCTTAAATTACATCTCAAAGAAGCCTTTTTAACACCCCTGCCTCCCCACCTCGCCCCTCAAGGAACTGACCACCCTCTTCCCAATGCAGGCTTCTTTCAAAGTACCCATGAGTCTTTCTATGTCTCAGTTATTCTCATTCTACTTACTATTAATATCTATGTATACATGTGCTCCCAGCAACTAGCTTCATAAACACTGATTGAGTAAAACAGAAAATGAATCAAAGGGAAGTGTGCAGCAAATCAGAACACTTACTCTTCCACGTGTGTTGGAACCTGCAGGACTGGATCTGTGCAAAAGAACAATAAAGGCGTTGTCAGATTCTAAAATGTCAAGATTCCTAGAGTTCCTAGGTCCAGCTCACAAGATGGACCAATAAATTTATCTACGTGAGAAAACGTAGGTGAAGGCACTTTAAAAAACTCACACAAAAACACAAATGTAGGCTCTTGGGAGCGGGGCTGTGTGGGGGGGGGGGGGCGGGGGGGGGCGCGCAGGCGGCGGGCTTCCCTGGCGGCTCAGCGGTAAAGAATCCACCTGCAATACAGGAGATGCAGGTTCAACCCCTGGGTCGGGAAGATCCCCTGAAGGAGAGCATGGCAACCCACTTGAGTATTATTGCTGGGATAATCCCATGGACAGAGGAGCCAGGTGAGCTACAGTCCATGGGGTTAGACAAGAGTTGGACACAACTTAATGACTGAGTACACGCACACACATACGCACAGATGCATCACTCATGCAAGCTCTTAGGTCTGTTGCTGAGATTGGAGAGAGGGCTGAGGGCAGGATGGAACTGCTCTCAGGAAACTAGCCTGTGACTTGGAGGCTGGACATACAAGGAAGCACAGTGACAACCCACAGTGGACAATGGGTCACAGTGTCACTATCTGACACATTAAGGACTTCTACACCTAAACCATCTCTGGGTCAGGTACCTGGCGTGGTGCTAGATATTTCCATTGGGAAAGCAAAACTGTGGCTTAAGAAGCAGTTTTGCTGTTGATGAGAATTTGCCTGGATGGTAAATGGATACATCCCTTTGGCCCAGCAATATGATGACTTTAGAGCCTTTGAGTGTTCATTCTGCTTGATCCCCTTTGATCCATTAATTCCATATCTATAAAGTCTGGTTTAAAAACAACACAAAATATATAAAATGCTTTCTGAACAAAGATCTTCACAGTAGCATCACAGATGACCTAACTGTTCAGGGATGTGGTTAAATTATGGAATGTCCACTTGGCAGAAAATTAAGACTTCTAAAGTCGCTCAGTCATGTCCATCTCTTTGCAACCTCATGGACTGTAGTCCGCCAGGCTCCTCTGTCCATAGAATTCTCCAGACAAGAACACTGGAGAGGGTAGCCGTTCCCTTCTCCAGGAGATCTTCCCAATCCAGCAATCAAACCCAGGTCTCCTGAATTGCAGGGAGATTCTTAGAGCTTCTAAAAGGGCTTATAAAGTTTTATAAGTATATATGTTCAGGAGAAAAAAAATAACATTGTACCTAGAGTATTAATGCAGCTGAGAAAAAAAAAAACCTATGTGTGTAAAAAAAGGAAAAAAAAGAGATGGAAAGGTAAAAAAAAGTGCTAAACTGTAAGTTGCCTTTGTTGGAAATATAAATGACTTCCCCACCTTTTCCACATTTCCCCAAATTTCTACAAAAGTAGGCATTACCTTTGAAATAGGAAACACAGTTTTTCCTTCAAGTCATTTTAATATTGGGTTGGCTGAGAAGATTGTTCAGATTTGTCCACTTGATGGTACAGAAAAACCCAAACAAACTGTCTGGCCAACCCAACATTTGCCGTCATCTGAGTGACAGAATTTCTCCTGGGCACAGATCACAAGGACAATCCTGAGTCCACGGGATGGATGGAGGCCACTGACCCGGCAGTACTGTAACAGAGCTGAAATCCCAGGCAATGAGGTGTTTCCAGCCATTGGGACCCCACAGGCCATAAGCCATGCTGCCCACAAAACTTCAAAGCTGGGGTCAAGGACGGCAAATGCTATGATGTGACTCTGGATACAGGCTCTGCTTATGGTGACAGACAGCTGTCTAATTCCCTGGGTCAGCTGGGATTCTCAGATGAAGGAAACCCTTTCAAGCCTTATCATGTGTTGACTTTGCTTTGCAGGCCCAGCTCCCACATGAAGGCGGACGGGTGTTCACAACAGAGGCGCACACACCACATGTGGTCTGTGGGTGGCAAACAAACAATTCATTAAAACCAAGAGCATTTCAGGGAACAGGAGGAACTTTCGGTCGGTAAGCACATGGTGAGCGTCCCCATTACTCACCTCTCAGTACACTCTCACAAACAGACTGATGCAAGAGACAGGAAATGAGGGTGCCTAGCCCTCACCCTCCTGAAACAGACAAGCAGCAGTTGTAACCCAGTGCCTCCAGTGCATCCCAGAAGTTGAGCACGCCAGGGAGAGCGAGAAGGCATGTTTCCAAGAAAACACAGCAGGAGGAAGGTGTCCATTCAATTCGTTCTGGCCACTTAAAGGTGCCATAGATCAACAGAGATGACGAGGACAATACCAAATCCGAGCTGCTCACCAAAAAACAAGACGTGGACACGGAGGGGGTTTCAGTGCCTGCTCCCGAGCTTATCTTTGCTGGTCAGTGTTTGCTCACTCTCAGGGTCTCCTCCTCTACTGTGGATTTTCCTGGTTCTCTACAGCTTATTCAGCTTATCTGACATGGAGGCCTCAGGTCCCAAAGTGTGTCCTGCACCAGAAAGGTTCCAGTTAAGACACAGGCCACTGGCAGGAGCCAGGGAAGGGCGGCTGGACATCTACAGCAGGGTTGGGGAGCCACGCTTTCTCCTAGGCTTAAGGGGACATGACCTCCAAGAGGGGCGCCTTCTCATTCACTCGTAAAACAGGGCCCCTGGAATAAACATCTGCAGAGCTGCATGCATGTCACAGAAAGCAAATGTGGAACAAGGACCTGTTCTGCATATTTTTCTTCTTAAAGAATCATTTGAATCTAAGGTTTCCTTTCAAATACTATAGGAAACTGGAGGATAATTACAATATTGTGATGGTTTTTGCCATACATTAATATGAATCAGCCATAGGTATACATGTGTCCCCTCCATCCTGAACCACTTCCCTGGTGGTCCAGTGGTTAAAACTCTGCATTCCCAATGCAGGGTGGCACGGGTTCAATCCCTGGTCGGGGAACTAAGATCACACAAGCCACGTGGTGTGGCCAAAATAAATAAATAAATAATAATAATAAAAAACCCACAAGGGAAGGAAACATAAGACAAAAAAATGGCAGCCTGTTGATAACTGTTTAAAGATAGAATTGACAACACCGGCCTGTCATTTTACTGTTCTCTCTACCTCTGCTTGAAATTTTCCATATTAGAAAAGGTTAAAGGATAAAAATATTTGAAAAGCCAGTAAAATAAAAGGAAAAAGCATCAGCTGAAAACGTGCCATGGAAGCCCAACATGAAAAGGAGTTGTTTTGGATTTAATAACAAGAAGTGGACTTAGGCAAAATTCTTGCTCTTAAAAAGTCACCTTCATGTGAAAAGAAACAGTGGCCTAACCCTAAGGCTATAAACAAATGCTGCTACAAAATAAGCCTCTCTATCTATGGAAACCGATAAGGACGAAAGCCATCTCACCAAGCTGTTTTACTTTCAGAAAGGGCAGGGGGAAAAAAAAGAGTTGCTTTACCAGTGTAAAAATGGGTGTTACTCAAGGGAAAGGTAAAGATATCAGAAGAGGGAAAAAGAAAAAGCTGAAATCAGTGTTTGGTCTCCAAGATCAAGACAGAAACAGATCTGCCCACTGCTCCCCTAGGAGCAGCCACTGGACTCGGCTCCCTTGGAGGGTCCATTTCAGGCCTGATTTACTCCAGAAGATGACATGCATGGCTCCTGTTCTGTGCTGATGGGATCCCCCTTTTGAACCCGAGGCAGAAATGACCCAAGACAGACGGAAACATGTTTATCTCCAAAAGAAGTGAGTTTTCATCTTCCCAAGAACACCTTTTCCGCCGTCCTCTCTCAAACCTCCTACCTCCTCCTCTGCACTGGGCCCTGACTGCACGCTGGACCCTGCTCCCTTCCTGAGCCCCGGGCCTCGAGGTCTTGGTCCATTAGCAGCCAGCCCCACGCTTCCAGCTGCTTCACCAGCCTGCGGGCAGTCCGCGTGCCTCTGCCCCCGCCACGGGGCTTGACCCTCCCCTCGCCCAGTCTCTCCGCTTCCCGGCCTCTGTGGCCCTGTGCTAGCCGGACTTTTCACTCATCTCTCTCTCCCCCTCTCTCCCATCTACTCCTCTCCCTCTCCTTTCCTCTTCTTACTCCAACAGGGAAGAACTTTTCCTGGCTCTCATCTCGGTTCCCTCCGAGAGCACACCCATCTCTGTAGCTTCAACCATAATCACAATGGGGAAATTCTAGGTCCCCATCTCTCAAACTCTTCTTTCTGGACCCACTGGACATTTCCATCATCTCCTGCCAGCACCTCGACCACCACTTGCCCAAATCACACCCTCCATCATTCTCTCCAGATTGGCTTGGCGACCCTGTTCTCCTAGGAGACAGGCAGTCCTCAGACCACACTGCTGATGCTCATTTCTCCCGCAGAACCTGCCACCAGATGCCAGACTCTCTGGTCTATTCCATCATTCTGTTTCCTACTTCCAGCATCTTTTCAGCATCACTGCAACCCCTTGTCTTTCAAGAGCTCCCTTTTCTCCCAGTCTGTGTGCCCTTTGGGATGAGAAAAACCTAGGAATAAATCTGAGCTCTGCCACTCATCAGCTGAGTGACCTCGGCAAAACTACTTAATCTCTCTGAGCCTCAGTTTCCTTGTCAGTAAAGAAAAAAATAAAGAGATAGAGATAATAACACCAAACTCAAGGGGCAACTTTATGTTGATTAAATAAGGTTAAATATATCTTAAGATTGTAAGTCAGTGCCTTGACATAGAAGAGTGATGCTTCTGAAGACATAAATCAGATCATGCCTCTCTGCCACTGACAATCCATTGATGGGTATTTCGTTGCCCAGTAGAGGCTGATGTTCACCCAGTGATCTGTGAATCCACGCAACCCCACCCTCCCACACCCACCCTGGCAGTCTCCCATTATTTCTTCCTTACTCTACTCCAGCCATGCTCGAATACAGGCTACTCCTGGAGTACTGCCAAGTCTAAACCTGCCTTGGGGCCTTTGTGTATACTGTTCCCTGTGCCAAGGTCTTTGATCAAATGTCACCATCTCAGAGAGGCCTTCCATGACCACTTCCTAC